AAAAAACAAAAAACAAAAAACCCCGCAAAGGCAAATTTGTTGAAGACCTCGACTGATTTCTTCCTGATTTATTTTTCCGCTTGTGTGAGAGAGAAAGACGACTAATGGCGTTCCTAGCGGCATGTTATTAAACTGATCTCTACAGGGGTGACATCTTCATTCCTTCAGCAACCGGCCGACCCATGTGTCAGTTCGTACGTTTCGCTTACAATCTTCTCCCTCTCAGTTTAATAGCCTCCACGAGACTAGCCAGCAAACTCTGCTGTCTCCCAATTCATACCAAAACACTTCCGTTTATATTTCGCCTTTTTTGTGTGGTGGAACGCTTCCAGTTTCGGCCCGAGAGGATTCTAGAATCACGTAGGGTCTTCTAGAAAAGACCAGATTTCTTCCGAATCATCTCGAATCGGAAGTCCGTCATTTATTTATTTAGCGGATCAGATTCCCGGCCTAATTAGAAATATCACTGGGTTGATAGCATTCACCCGTGAAAGCCTGGCGTGCTGTTGAGCCGTATTGACCTTTATTTACTGAGGGGTCGACTTTCAAAGCTTTTCACAGAATAACGTTTGTTGTTTGGCGTCTGGATGACCAGGTAGGCCACATGGCAGTAATTTCTAGTGCTGTTAAAAAAAAAAACTTTTTTTTCTTATTTTCTTTTATTCAGTTTTATTTTTTAAAAGAACATAATATAAATTTACGCTGAAAATTTTCGCATTACATAACATATATATATATATATATATATATATATATTTCTTTGTGACGTATTCCTTCTGGACGTTGGTGATTATAGCTGTCCACATTTTTCTCTATTTTGTAAATGTTGTTTTTTGTTATTTCTTATATATCATGTACTGTCATCTACTTGCACAAACACGCTAGGTAGGTTGCGTGTTGTTTTCCCCTGTCCATGTTGCCTTCAGTCTTTCCTGTGTGTATCAACTTTTCCAATCCTTCTTTCCTCATCATGTGCTACTGAAACCTCAAGTGTCACTATCTGATGTTAAGTAGAAGTGTCGTTTTTGTTTCCATTTTCTCTAAAACTTCGTCGTTGTTCGGTCCATAGTTTTCTCATCATCCATCAGTTGAACCACATTTCTGCAGTTTTAAATCTCTAGTTCATCTGTGATAAGATTGTCCAGCATTCGCAGTCATATCGGAGGGCTGATATTACGTGACAATCAAGTAAGCTTTTCTTTTTTTTTCCGTTACTTAATACTTTGCTTAGCTTTGGAAGGCACCTTTCGCTATAGAAAGGCGTCTTCTGATTTCAGTGTTGCATTTTACATTCTCTGTACTTGTTTGATTTTGGTATCTCCAATTTGTAATTTGAATATTGGACTGTTCCGATTACCGAGGAATATACATTGTGTTCTTAGAATTGACGTTTGGTCCTTTCTTCACGCTTTCCTTCAAGGTTGGTTTGTTTTGTTTTGTTTTACGGCATATCAACCTCAATGGGTTATTTAATACCGACAAAATTTTTTATTGCTGGTAATATTTTTTTTTCCAAAAATGTATTGCTAGTAATATTTTTCCTTCAAAAAACTATTGCTGGTAATATTTTTTTCAAAAATATATTGCTGGTAATAATGTATTCCCGGTAATAATTTTTTACAAAAAAGTATTTCTGGTATTAGAGCATATTTTTACACTTTCATAATATTTTGACCCAAGTTTGGGGGTTAACTATTTGCCCATAGCTGGGACCCTAACAGGTGCTACCACTCCGGATCAGGGTAGACCTAGGAACAGCAGCAATTAAGAGGTGGTTCCACGCTCCTCAAAACCTCCTGATCAAAGCCCTTGCTGCCGGACGTAGTTTATCGTCTTACCCAGAACGCGGATCTAGTTTGTCGTCTTACCCAGGACGCGGATCTAGTTTGTCGTCTTACCCAGGACGCGGATGTAGTTTGTCGTCTACCCAGGACGCGGATCTAGTTTGTACCCAGGACGCGGATGTCTTACCCAGGACGCGGATCTAGTTTGTCGTCTTACCCAGGACGCGGATCTAGTTTGTCGTCTTACCCAGGACGGATCTAGTTTGTCGTCTTACCCAGCACGCGGATCTAGTTTGTCGTCTTACCCAGGACGCGGATCTAGTTTGTCGTCTTACCCAGGACGCGGATCTAGTTTGTCGTCTTACCCAGGACGCGGATCTAGTTTGTCGTCTTACCCAGGACGCGGATCTAGTTTGTCGTCTTACCCAGGACGCGGATGCTTGTCGTCTTACCCAGGACGCGGATCTAGTTTGTCGTCTTAACCAGGACGGACTTTCCTTCAATTTCATCAGTAGGATTTCTTGTTTCCTTTTTGTGTCTGCTATCATTAGTGTCATCTGCACATCTTATGTTGTTAAGATTGTGACCGCCAATAATGAATCCTTGTTGGACATTTCTGCAAGAAGAGATGGTTTCACGAAGTTACTCGGATATTGCGTCGAAGTCTAGAGTTCAATCGAATTGACACAGTCTTTGTCAGTACCTTTTATTCTTTCTTTAATGTTTCTTTGTCAGCAGTTTTTATTCATTTGACCTTGCGAGCCCGTTCTGTCATGAGCTCCGACCGATGTTCCTGTTAAAATCTTGATAGCGTCGTACTTTGACAAGATCTGTCTTCTTTGACTTACGAGAAACAGATAGTTGAAACAGGATCAATATTTGATCAAAATGTTTGTACCCGTCGGTGTCGTGAAATTGCAATACACACTTTCAGTCGTGTTTTATTTATCTTTCAAAGTCTCAGAAAGTTATGCAATATATACTAGCTGCTTGTTTAACCTATGATGCCTGGATATAAAGTATTCGACGAATACGTCAAAAACTATATTCTCTCTAATAACTGCATTCAGAATGAGAAATATTCTCGAACTAGAGTTGAATTTTGTGTGCAGAGTTTAAATCTGCTACTCCAAGGAAAATATTCTTTACTTATTGCAACTCACTATCTTTACCATAGTCCTTCATTCTCTGCTTTCTTAGACAAAATTTCTGTTAGCATGGCTAGCAAGTGTTAATAGAAAAAATAAAGAATATATACACACGCGCGCATATATATTATATATCTTATATATATATATATATATATATATATATATATATATTGTAACCTCGGGAAGGTTATCGAATAGAATAATCACACAAATGTTGGTAATGGACGATAAAACATAGGACACGAACAACACATACAAGATTTGCCAGCGGCATGTAAAAAAGTAGTCAAACTGCTAGAAGTGAGTCAAGTGAATTCCATAATGAATGTCCAACTGTAGGATATCTACCAACTGCCCTACGCGGACAGATGTAGTACAAGTTCAAAAATTTAGCGTAGACCCCGTATAAAACGTGCTCGTGTAGCTATTTCCAGAGACGAGATTCTGCTCTTCGACATAGCCTCGTCTGGGGATTCTCTCTGCCCAGAGGTAGAGAGTTTGACCAGCACAGCTGGAGACAAGTCTTCAAATGCAGGATATTTATTGTATATAAAATACAATTGCGGCACAAGGCCAAAATGGGAAGGGGGTGAGACTGGTCGTCACTAACTTTCTTATACCTAGCTAATCTGATTCACGACCCATTCACACATTACATTTTCCACAGCAATCAATCCACCATAATACCGCATCCTCTCAAGGGAAAACATACAAAACGCGCCCCCATGCCTTAAAACTTTAATGATAATAAATATATATAAAATTCTAATAATGAACAATGAGAGGCTGGGGTGGGGGGGAAATGAACATAATAATCTTCAAATGCAGACCAACACACAGTATTTACTACTATATTTATGTGAATGGGAACATGCCCATTACCGCCCGTAGTTATGCTACAACACACACAATATATATATATATATATATATATATATGAGTAAGTACTCTCCCTTATAAATATATCAAATTTCACCCAATGTACACCCACATACACATTTATATATATATATATATATATATATATATATATACACATACATACATACATACATACATACATATATATATATATATATATATATATATATATATATATATATATATAATTATTTATCAATATTTTTTTAAATTTGTAATAATAACTGGTTATATTCGAGTGAAATATAACCTGTCCATTGTTTCTATAAAAACGGATTTTATCATTAAACCTCGAGGGAACAAACATCTATTATCCGATGGACTAATAATGAGTGGTCTTGCTTTGAGTGAGTCAATGCTGATTTACCTACAAGTGAAGGATGGCATAGTTGTTTTTGCAGCAACCATCATCCCGCAATATAGAAATTCTTAGACGCTCTTAAAAGAGAACAGGACTTGCAAGAAATTCATATTGCAAAAGTAACAGAAGTTCGGCAGGATATCAAGAGCGCCAAGAGATACAGCGAAATAAATGGAAAACTTAAAAATTAATAGCATCCGTTAACGAGTACTCTTCAGTAGTTGACTATTTGCGTGCAGTATCATATAACTTAAGGTTATACGGATTATTTCTTGATAAATTGTTTTATTAACGATATTTGTATTTCGAGTAATTATCATTTGCGTATTCCCTATTTTAACTTTTTAATTTTTATTGCAATAAAGAAGTTTGCATTTCGAATAATTATCATTTATTATAATTGGCCTTTCAGTTAATTTTTATACAAACAATTTATAATTCTAATAAATATTTATCGAATAATTATTTTCGAACAATGTTCCCATGATCACACATACGTATCAAAGATTGATTCTTTTTTCACGGCTTGTCAACTTTTTGCTTGTTATTTAAAACCCAGAAAATATTTTTAGATTGTAAGATTTTTTTTTTTAAGATAATAATGGTTTAGTTATACAAGTCTTACTAATCAACCTATAGCTGGATAGAGAAGTGCTTGATTCATAACTTTCGCAAGGCATTTGCGCGTAAGTGAATATAGCGAAACCAACAGTAGTTCGAACACTGCTCTCCGATTAACAATTCAAAATAGCCGTTATCAATTACACCATCGGCACATCCAAACTTGCAGCACCTTGTATTCTCAAACTGTCGCCCATCTAGATACTGACCAAGTTCAATGTTGCTTAACGTCGGTGATCCTACGGGTACAGGTGTTTGAACGTGATGTGGTCGTAATCCGCGTATCAAAGAGCCAAGTATTAAGGCAAAGGCGACGACTCGGACATGTATCAAGAATGCGATGTATCGATGAAGTGACTCATGGCCATAGCAATGATCAGATTACGATTCTATTTGGTTTGGTCTGGTTGTTTTTTTTTTTTAGCGATATATCAACACCTCTATGGGTTATTTAATGAAGAAATCTGAATATGAAAATTAAGTTTTTAATTAATTCAAAAGAACGATAATTCATGATTAAATTAGCCTGTTTTTATTTTACCAACTGCGGTTTTTATTCTACCAAATAATCTTACAAAATATGAATTTCTAGCAAATCTTGTTCTCTTTATTGTGTGATGATGGGATGACATTTGCTGAAAAAAAAAAACCTATGATATTCTTCAAGGGAGTTATTAGTTCTAGGTAAATCAGCATCGACTCTCTCAAAGCAAGACCACATAGGTTATTCGCTCATCGGATAATAGGTATCTGGTTCCTAAATGATTTATGATAAAATCCATTTTTCTAGTAACAATAGACAGGTTATGTTCCACACAAATATAACCATATTGTGTGTATGTATTTAGGTAGCATCCCCTCTTTTAAACACTTTATATATATATATATATATATATATATATATATATAGTGTGTGTGTGCATTGTAGCATTCCTACGGACGGTAATGGTGATGTCCCCATTCATATAAATACAGTAGTAAATACTGTGTGTTGGTTTGCAGTTGGACATTTGGCTGTCCCTGGATGGACTCGAGCCAGGGTTTCTGCGTACGCCGATGACGTATCTAGTTTCGTGTCGTCCTGCAGCGACACTGAGGTGGTACTGAAGGCGCGTGATTGGCACGAAAAGGTGACAGGGGCCAAGATTAACCGTGACAAGTCTTCCGGCTTGCGGTTACGATCTTCCGGGACCCTGTAGTTGGAGTGTGGTTAGGACCCGACCTCCAGCTGGAGAAAAATTGGTCAGAAATACAGGCGAAGGTCGGTGCGGCCAGTGAGACTTGGCGCCGAAGGAGGTTGTCCGTGAAGGGCAGGGCGGAGGCGTGTGCCACTTACTTCTTTCCTCTTGTCCTTTACCCCTTGTCTGTACTTCCTCTCTGTAATAACCATAAGAAGGCGCTCGAACGATTTCTATCCCCATTTTACGCAGTCATAAGGTTGACAGAAAAGTCTGTGCACAACGTCCGTGTCATGGGAGGCTGGGAATGCTGCACTTGGCGACCCAAAAACTCGCCTCGAGGTTGGCTTTTCTACGCTGCTTATTGACAGGGGATTCGATTATGGCGGGGATTGTAAGGGACGCCTTCCTTTTCCTTACTATCAGTCCTCCAATCTCGCGGTTTGAGCGCCATCGTAAATCCGGGGATCAATCGGATTTCCTTTGCAAATGTCGAGATGCCTTGACGGTCATTCCTCGGTCCAGCGACCTTTCTCGGCCCAGGAAGGTCTTCTATCGTTAATTAGTGGAGAGGACCGCGAAGGATCCATTACGTGAGCGGCTGGACTTGTCGCAGGAGGAATTTCGCTCCTTGTCCTGGGAGCCAGCGGCGGATTACCTCAGTAATCCTGAGTTTTCGCTAACCAGGCAACTGGTTCGGAATAGGCTATCTTTCAATGACAAGGCCTTCATATGTGGCTTGGCGGATTTGCCAGACTGTGAACGATGTGACCTTGGCCTGGAAGAAACGGCTTCACACGCCTTCTACCATTGTCCTCGGGTCCGCCATCCCCCTATGGGACCATGTCGGCGAGTTGACTGCTCGTATCCCTCCCGAAATGCTCGTGCTCATTGATCGCGCATACGTGCGTGACAATGTGTCGCCCCCGTATTCTAGGGTGAAACGAAATGTGTTTCTATCGCTACTGGTCACGGCTCGAATGGTGATTTGGACAACGCGACAGGAGGAAGTCTTGCGAGGCAACCGTCTTTCTCATCAGGATCTGATCCGATTCTTTGAGCATCAGCTCAAGATGAAGATTAGAACTGATAGAAAACGCTGGCATTCGAAAGTCTTTAGCGAAAGGTGGGTGACTGAGGCCAGCTTGGTTCGTGTTACCGAGGCTAGCCTTGATTTTCCCTTTTGGGTTGTGAATCGGATTAGCTAGGTATAAGATAGTGAAGACCAGACTCAACTCGTTACCCATAATTATGTACATTTTCACAATAAATATGCTGCAGTTGGAGATTTGTCTCTAGCTGTCGAAGGGCAGAAAAGTGAAAAATTATTTCTCTTTACAAGAAATGAGATCAATCATTGAAAATTGTTTTTATTTCTTGACAATATATGCCATGTCTTCAAATTTTCTTTAAAAATGTATTATTGGTAAATTCTTTTCTGAATATGTATTGTTACTGTGGTGCTTGGGAGCTATCTGTTGCCACATTTTAACTTATGTATTGATGGGGTGTTTTGTAGGTCCTCAGTGAATATGTGGTATTGTGGTATATGCATGATTGAATGGTGTTGGATGAATTTCGATAATTGAGTCAAGTGCCATTAACTAGGACTAGGATAGCGATTTTCCAAGCATAGCTTAGATGTGACACAAGGCCGAAAGTATGGTGCACCCAGTGAGGATCGAACTCACTACTCATTCGTAATTGTGCCAACAAGACAAGCTTGCTAACCATTACACCACCTCGGGGTGTCCAACCTAGAACTGGGATAGATAGCGATGACCAGCCTATTTCTACTTCACCTTTGGCCTCGTGCCACAATTATTGTATTCTTTACAGTAATAAATATATTTATGTATTGGTGATCTTTTTATAAAGTCAGATGTGATATTTAAAATCTTTTTTAATTAATTTTTTTTTCTTTTTTTTCAGACTGCTAAAAATGAATCTAGGATATTATATATATATATATATATATATATATATATATATATATATATATATTTATTTACCTCTTTATGTGAAAAAATTGGCAACAGATAACCCCAAGTACCTTTACTTTTCTAGTGTTTTGCCTTTTTTTTTTTTTTTTGGAGGGGGGGCTCACAATTTGGCCATAGCGAGTAAAGGTGGGTCTGTGAACAACAGTAATTGAGAGGTGGTTCGAAGCTTTGTAAACCTTTCCAATCCTACGATGAGATGCCTTGCTGCCGGACGTCGTTTATCGTTATACCCAGGACCGTACATGTATCAATGAGGAAGCTGAGACACGTATCACGGCACGATAATCAACGTAACATTTACTTCAACCGTTTAAAAAAAAGTAACAATATTCTGTGAGTATAATATTAGATATATTTTACAAGTATAATTTTAATACTATAGTTTAGGAATTCGTTTGAAAACCGGCCCCAGAAGCATTTTTTCAGTAGGTTAACATTCCAAGAATCACTAAATAAAAATAACAGATACAGTGTAACCCGGATATAAGAGACCCGGATATAAGAGAAACCCGGATATAAGAAAGATTTTCTCTGGTCCCAAATTAGAGCCTGTGTTAATGGATATAAAATAGACCAAACCCGGATATAAGAGAAACCCGGATATAAGATACTTCTTCTCCGGTCCCGACAACTCTCTTATATCCGGGTTACATTGTATTAAAAAAAAATTAAGATAACTCCATTAAAGGAATCAGCGCATATGCTAAGATCAACTCGTGCACAAGGTCGAGTGTTTCACCACTGAGCTAACATCAAGGCAAGAACAACTGACCCTTTCCTCTTTAATACCGAGTCCCGTATTGATCTTTTAAAAGAAACTCTATTGAAATGCTGAATTCATAAATAGTATAGCCAGACAAAAACGTCTGTAATGTATGTGCTACGCTTCACTGTCACGTCTTGACTACAGGCTGATTTCGACGAGAAATATTTGTTTCTACAGCTCTGATTTCAATTTCGGAAATAAACCACATTGTTTCTAATTTGGCACCGAGGAAATAGTTTAGTACATCAGCCCTTCAACCTTTCCTTCCTATTTTTAAATGGAGATTTCTTCGTTCACCGCCATTTTATTTTGTTCTTTTGGTCGGAAGAGAACTAATAATTCTGACGGTTGTTGGGACAGTGTCAATGTATTTGATAATCCTGTATTAGATTTTGGTTTTTCTTGGCAAGTAACTAGGGATTATAATATTTTTTTCGTTTATTCTAATTTTTTTTGTCTTACTTTTTCGATGAGCGAAAATAGATGGCATTTCTGCATTCGTAGGCTTCTCCAGGCGATATATATATTTTTGGTTCTATCATTAAACTTGAGGTGAACCGTCATCTTATTTCTGTTTGTTTTTAGAAACATTCAACTTTTAATTGTGCCTGGAAAAAATAAACATTATACAGGGATGATTTCTGTTAATTCATCCCAAGTAATATAAAGTTACTTATCGTCAAAATTAATTCACCAAGAAATTTAAAATTTTAAATCAAAGTTTGTTTTTTTATTAAATTTTTGGCACTCTTTTGATATAAATTTTAAATCCAATTTTTTTAGCTTGCTTCGCAACTCCAGCCCTCAGAATGAAAAATGAAAAATTACGAAAAAAAAAAAAAAAAACACATCAGAGAGTTATTCACATTTCATAAGTGAGTATGATATTTTTGCAATAAAAAAAAAAGCAAAAAAAAAAAAAAAGCGAAAAATCTGTTTTTGAATTGTTTATCGGGGTGAGCGCGAATGTAGACCCCCCACACTTAGAAATAGAGCACCCGAGTCGCCCACATTTGGGGCGATCGCAAAAGTCAACCCAACCGGAGTGTAATGGAAGAGCCTCGCTCTGGAAGAGTTTGATGTGAATTTTAGTAAACATAAATTATTTTTTATTTTGGGGTGAATTATCAGAGAAGAGCTTACATCAGACCTACCTTTCTAATTTTAATGGAGGTATTTACGTCAAAAACAAAACAAAACAAACAAATACAAACAAAAACATTTTAATCTGTATCCTTTTTTATCAGTTCGCTACACACAGACGAAAAATTACAAGCATCATATCTGTTGCAATATGGCCGTGTCAAATTTTACCTTTTACGAGAAGC